GTTAATGGTAATTTAACAACCAAAGTCTATGATGACTTAAACTTTTCTGTCGTCAACTTCCCTTACTTATGCGTTGGGATACCTTCATCACCTGCATACGGAGTTGAACTTGAATACTGTTCGTTATCTTCTAATGTTTCATTCTATTTTTTTTTTAAATGTGACATCAACAATTGCAGCAGGAATGTAGTTTACTTAATAAGGGGAGTATAAGAATTAATTTTTATATATGTATATAATTATTTTAGTTTAAACAGTGTTATATATTTATTGACACAAGTCCATTCTTAAAGTAATAATATTAAACTTGAAGTTCGAGTTGCATTTGAAACTTAAACCCTTGCAATACTGTCAAACGGGTTCTATAGAGTTCCTCAAGCTCCCCTACAGGATATTAGTGATTCCTTCTAACATTCTACAAAATCATCATTAAGAATATTGTTTTCTATTTCAGGTGGTTTGTAAGCACCAACCGTAAGCCATTCATGGCAATTAAGTGATACGTCACGTCTCCGTCATGTAATGAGACTTGTATTTGTATTTTGAAAATGTTAGAGTTGACCATCAATTTATCTTTATTTTTTAGATATTAATCATACTATAAATGCAGTTAAACAAGTTGGGGAACATATTATTTCATTTTTCATGAAGTTGTTGTGGATAAATACGTTCATTATTGTTACAACATGGCATCTTGATAGTTATCAGTTTAAACTATTTTAAAATTATCAACATAAAAATATTAAATCAACGTATGGTGTATATCAAGTGATTATACAACTTACAATGATTTGAAAAAAAAATGATATATATTTGTTTAATATTTAGCCACAAATCGTCATATAGGATTCAGTGTGTTTACATTTGATGAGTCATCTTACATACCACCAAACACCGGAGGATATAAGGTATTTACTCAGGACCCGTCCTACTGCATAGAACCAGTAATGAATGTGACAGTCAACAGGGTAACTAAAGGAATAGCTCTATTTAATTCAAGGAATTCCTGGCTAAATACACAATGTTCAGGATATATATCTACATTTGCTACCATCGAAATTTGCGAAGTACATGTTATGGGTATGTAGTATATTGAAGAAAATAAAAATTGTTAGTTTATGCAGATAGTACAATTTAAATTCTACCCAACAAAGGAAATACATGAATTCCCGTCAAAATATTTTATTCATGTACAAAGCAAATTTAATGTAAAATAATAATTTATTCTTTATTCTTTAAAAAATATTTCTTCAGGTTGTAATTATCAAAAATATGGTGAAAACTGCACATCCTGTCCACTTAAGTGTGTGAACCGGAAATGCGATGCTTTCGATGGTTCCTGTATATATGGGTGTAGCGACAGGTTTATTAAACCACCTGACTGTATGAGTAAGTGTCAAGTTTCTAGGCAAAACCGTTTAAATCTAAGTTTTTTCTTGCTGACAAAATTTTGATTTTTAAATCAATAAATCTTTTTCTCTTATGAGCAGTAATTTAAGGACAGATTTTTAAAAATTTTCACTAAATTGAATGTACAAAGCAGGTGATTTGTACAAGATTTAGCTTTATTGGTATTTATTATACCTCTATTGATAATTCCCAAATTAGATTGGCTGATAAGAAAACTTTAATACACAACCCCAGATAGCAAGACTATGTTGGGCCAACATTGGCAAAAGATTGTATAGTTGGCGTTGGGGAAACAACGTTGGGCCAACGTTGGACCAATGTAGCGATGCCAACCTTCTTGACCATGACAAAATTCCTCTGTTGGCCCAACGTTGGTCCAACGTTAGCAACTTCCATTCACTTTATTTCCCAAGGAAGGAGGGATGTTGATTTTGGCCCAACGTTTGCCCGATGTTTGTAATACACCATTAAAGAAAGGGTCTTATCGAGTTGGTAGTAGTATGTTGGCCCAGCGTTGGCCCGATGATAGTACGAGTGTGTTTCAAAGATGGAATATTTATATCGGGCCAACGCTGGCCCAATTATTATACTGCCAACTAAATGATGGTGTCAATTTTAGCTGTGGGCTTTACGTTGGGACAACGTTGGTTCTAATTAAGTTTTAATTTAAATGCACATTCTGAAATAATAAAGAGGACATTCTATGTCCATGCTTTTAATTGGATGACGGTTTTTGTATAGATCTGATATTTTCAACATTTTAACTTTAAATTTAAGTGATCACAGCACCAAAGAGTGTTTTATTATATTTTTTAAATTGTGCACATGCATGCTTATTTATTTGAAATAAACCCTTGAAATTATGAATTTTTTCATGAGCGTTGTTTTCATGAGAATTTAGAGAAGACTGAGTAAGTTCTCAGGAACATGATGTGAATGAAGCCTACATATACATAAATCAAAATGACACACTGCAGTTTTATAATTAAATTGAAACAAAAGTTAGGCGTTCGCTAAAGCTTGGAGAAAAAAACACCAAACTGTGGAGTGAGCTGTCAGATTCAATTGCTCACAGGTGGTGATAGACTGAAAATGCAGGGCAAGTAAGAAGAAGTGAAATTTAAATTTATGGATTATGTACACATTTTTTATAGCACCATTTAGAAGCGATATAAGTATATATTTATTCTTATTTATTCAGATTAACTGTTAAAATTGATTCGAAATCATTTGTTTCATGTTTTTGCACACAAGCACTGTAAGTTAAAGTTAAATAACATCTTTTAAGTTGTTTCTATCTAATTCTTAACTGTCTATTACAGACACGATTGTAACAAAGAAATTAAGGTGCACTAATAATAGAATACATCATTCTCTTTATTAAAAGATTTAATTGAAGTAATATTTATTCATAAGTTGGAACAGTAATTGTATTATTGTTTCTAATATCAAACTATTTTGTCTTTTCAGTCAGAGACTGCAAGGAAAACAAAATGTTGTGGCGGTTAATAACAATGAAATCAAAGACCGTGCATAAAGAAGTGTATAAAGTACGAGTGCGTATGACAAATATCAAGATGAAGAAAACGGGAGGCGACGATGGGACGGAAAAAGAGCGGGAATACAACAAAAGGACTATAATAAAGGAAGTGAGCCCTGATTAAGAACTCTGAATTGATAATTTTTCATAATTTACCTCTATTGTCTATTTTAAAATTTATTTTGTAAATTACGATTGAATTGATGTATATAAAACATTTTCATAGTGAATCATTAGTAATGTTTTCATTGAACATGTCCATGTATGCATTATGAATACATACTGAATTGTGTATTAATTTAAGAATCACTTCACCAATTGCAAATTTTTCTATGTAATAACTACGATGGCCGAACAATTTGCCATCTGACATTGTAAAAAGGGTCAACATTTGGCCAACCTAGCTAACAAGCTGTTAAGGTTGGCTGTTAGTTGACATACACTAAAAACTACGTTGGCCCAACAATATGCCATGTGACATTTCAACATAGGACCAACGTTGGGCCATCCAAACCAAACAGTTGTTAAGGTTGGCTGTTAGTTGTGTCAACAATATGCCAAATGACATTTCAACAAACGGCCAAAGACCAACGTTGGGCCAACCTAACCAACAACTTCTTAAGGTTGGCTGTTAGTTGTCATACAATTATACTTACGTTGGCCCAACAATATGCCAACTTGTTGGACCAACGTTGGGCCGATAAGCAAAATTACCGTGGGCCAAATTAAGGTTACCAACAATGGGCCAACGTTGGAAAAAAATTTGGGCCAGCGTTGGCCCAACTATGTCTTGCTATCTCGGACAATGACTCTAAATACTGTTAACAACAATATTGGACTAGGAGTCATTGCATGTGGGATATTATAACCTCGTCATTATAATCATTGGCCGCTAAATAATGACCTCTTACATGTAATCAAAAATTCTTTTTTGAGTGAAGTTAATGCATAAAATAATAATTATTCGAAAAAAAACATGTTTTTAAATTTGTACATGGTCTGTTTTGCAATACCATACAGAATACGGTTAAATTTTAGCGTTAACTTAAACGGTATACTAAATTCAATATATCGTTCCGATTCAGTTAAATAAAATGTAGAAATAGCAATTTCAATAGTTGAAGTGTGTTAATTTTGACTGTGAGAGGAAACGTAATCTCTAGTTATACATGTAGCAATGCATGTCGCCATCAACCGAATATTGTTTTAATCAGCCAATCATGATGCAAAAATTGCACGACTTGCAGATGTAAATGTAAACGACAACTTTACTATATATACGGAGAGTATAGTATCCAGATCCCTATCAAAGAAAGAATTGAGAACGGTTAAAGATACAGATTTCAATATATATTGGTATAATAAAACAATTGATTTCCCCTTTTGAGGTCAGCTTGGTGAAATAAGGACCTGAGACCTGGCCCACTCGATAACCTGCCCTGACCTCGGCCGTTACGAGTAAATTAAGCATAATTAATTGTATAATAAATAAACCAATCCTGACCCAGGATAATAATGAAAAGCGCATAAGTGGTGAATCGTTGAACACAGAGACTGGTATTACAATATAGATAAATAGCTGATAAATACGGAATTCTCCTCAGTAAACGATTGCAAATTAGTCAATTTTGCTACATTTCACTATTACATGTAGCTAGTTGATTTGTTGACGTCAATATGGGACAAAAATCGGTGTATAGAGCAAAGTCAGACCCATGGAATTCGGGTTGGTAGTTGTAAGGAAGACCTATTTAAATGATAAGGGTTAACCCTTACAAAAATCTAAGGATGAAGTTTATTCTCGCACAAATATCAAACACGAATGACTTATTTTAAGGTCAGACGACACTCTCCTCAGATATATAATTTGCATCTTTAGGTATCATCTATTTTTTTTCAAATTTGGCCTTTTCTTTTGATTTCTACACTGCTTTCATAATGATTTTAAATATAAGTAAACATAAGTAAACCCAAAATTATGATATAAGCCATTCAGAAGAATACCCCTAAGGGTTATATAAGAAATATCTCCCTGTGGTATCTTGTTAAAATGCCTGGTAAGGTACCCTTATTTTTTGTGAGGAAACTTGTTTAAGTACATGTACTTCAATGACAAATTCAGAGATAAAATTATACATTTTTGAGGAACGTTTCATCTGACCTTGATATTCTAGAACTACGCCAAACTCAATATATATTTTAATCATTCACACATCTATGGCGATACTATAGCTTTTTTACGTTTCTAGTAAAAGGGTAAATATTCAACCATTGACTTGCACCTTACTCGGCACTCTGTCGAAACTGGATTTAGAAAATGAATATTTAAGGTTTCAAATGTCAACATATCCCTGATATTCACATTGAGATGAATATGGTACATGTCAACTGTAACTCACCTCTATGTTCAAGTAGACACAATTAGATGAAAAATTCACCTTTCAACCACAATTCTATTCCTGATCGACGCTAATGTTTCAGCTACCAACTTTCAATTTATGAAAATGTCATAAACAAAGAAGTTGTTTTGATACTTCTTTTTGAGCCACTGCGTCCGCATACTGAGTACAAGGCATTATTCATCCTAAAGTATATTTATTTTTACAGTGAGTGTAATTGCATTTACCTCAGATAAGTACATATAAAAAGTATCAAGTATATTTAATAAATTTTATTGTGGCAAACATTGGGCATGTCTGTTTATCCAGAGACACAAACTATGAAAAGCTATTGGTGTCTCTGGCAACACAACAAAGCAAAGTTTACATATTAAATATTCAAACTCAGGTTAATAGTTCAAAGCTCCAAGTTCACAAACACCATCTCAAAAAGTCGTATAAAACTTTTATTCTGGGAAGTGTAGCGGTCAAGCACTTATTTATGTATATCTAAATCCAAAGCTTTAACGTTCATGAAAAAATAACTGCAAATAAGGATAGTTACTAAGACTAGTGCCGCACATCTCGACTGGAAAGAAATGGACACCGTATCAAATTCTATAAATCCACATTATTGTTTAATGTTTGTGGTTAGAAGATAGTTATAGACTCCTGAAAATGGTGCATAACTTATTCATAACGATGTCAAAATGAAAGAGAAATAAGAAAAATCACAGCACTGTGTCGGGTCCTATAAATTTAGAATTGCGTGGCGGATGTGTGTTGCCTATATGCATTTACCTTTTTTTAGAAATACTTAATAATTATCATTCTCTTGCTTATCGAATCAACTGAGAGATGCAAACCTTGTATACACATGATAAAGTTATATTGCTTCAAAAGAATGGATAGTTAACGATACAAAGGTTAAAGTCATCCAGTTTATCATAAATTTGGTTGTTTAAGTAAAATATCCAAATATGAAACATATATCTCAGACTCTGTGGTATCTTTTATTTCAAACTCTCTAGGATATATCACGTTGACTTAAAAATTGAAATAACCATTGTTAATTGGAAATACGTCGTTGACATATCAAAAAATCGAGATGAAGGCCACGGTAAGTGCTTTCTTCTTTTTCATTGACACGATTTGGACGAATTTTGCGCTTTACATGAATACAAAAATAGGTTTGGTTATAATCGTGCGCAACTTGTACCCATTGAAATTCTAATAGATTGTTGTAAAAATTTGTGTATATAAACCGCATCGTATATCAAATGGTATAATTTTAATAGGGAAGAAATTTATTTGCACAATATGTATCTTGAACTATTTTTTTATATTTGTTAGGTATTACTTATTTATTAAAAGTAAGCAAGTTCTCAGATGTGTTACATAATGTTGATTAGAGAGATAGATAGGTTACATGGAATATTGGCTGAAAAATTACTTTTATTAATCATTTTGTAGTTTGTAAAGACGGCTTTTACGGTCAGAATTGTGCAGGTATCTGTGGTAATTGCAAAAATAATGCCGCATGCAATAATACTACTGGTATCTGTTCAACTGGGTGTCATAACCAATGGAATGGTACACTGTGTAATGGTAAGAAGAAGCCATTTTTTCTTGTCCATTATTCATTTCATTTTCCATCCGTTATTGTAATAAATTTTGCTGACAGGTATCTAAAAAATTTTTAAATTTTACTCAAAATGAATTTTTTAAAAAATTTAATCCGTTTTCTAGTGTGTAAAAATGGATTCTATGGAGACAAATGCACAAAGACTTGTGGTCGTTGTAAACCTGGAACCCATTGTAACAATGTAACAGGGATTTGTCAGGAAGGATGTGATGATCATTGGAACGGTTCACAGTGCAATGGTATTATTTTTTTCGGCTTTTCATAAATTATTGTATATTTTAGATTTTCATTGAATAAAAACAATGAATTCCTTTATTCTTCAAAATATTAATTTACCAATTAACATATATTCCATTCGTTTGATTATTTACTTATCTTATCTTTATACATTTTGGTAGTGTGTAAAAATGGATTCTATGGAGATAAATGCACAAAGACTTGTGGTCGTTGTAAACCTGGAACCCATTGTAACAATGTAACAGGGATTTGTCTGGAAGGATGTGATGATCATTGGAACGGTTCCCAGTGCAATGGTAAATAGTGCAAAAGAATGAAACATTTCATTGAATTGTTAAGTCAAATTTGAAATCTTGAAAGCCTTTCCATGGAAATGTCTAAAATTATATATAACTTTTATGATGCACTTTTTTTTAATACATGGCGAGAATACTGTGAGTAATACGAATAACAAATCTTTATCTTTACCTTTTGTCTGTATGTATTTTTGCCTGAAATTGAAATACATAAAGATTACTTAAAGGATGCTTTGCAGAGGTAATCACTTTATGCTAGGAGTATTGATTCTGCAAAATATATTTATATTCATGTTCCAAACCACTCTACCTCTTGCTAGAACACTTTGAATAAAAAAAAAATGATACATTCCTTCAGAATGCATAAATGGCTTCTATGGTGGAAATTGTTCAAGTTGCGGGAGTTGTAGGAATGGAACCTTTTGTGACAACATTACAGGGATATGTCCAGGGGGCTGTGAACATCATTGGAATGGAACCAACTGTGATGGTATGTGCTGAATTGAAGAATTTATATTTTTTGCAACCATTAACAAACCATGATTATTCACTTCATTAAATAAAATTCTTGATATCAAATCTAAAATAAATTTATATAAAACATTATGTACATTACAGAATGTGGCGATGGATATTATGGATCTAGTTGCAATACAACGTGTGAAAATTGCATCCAAAATAAATGCACAAGAACTGGACGTTGTTTGATAAGATACAGAGAAAATATGAAAGGTTTGAAATGTGATGGTGGATATCCTTTTTTTTTCTCTTTTTCCAATATACATATGAAAACATTTCACAGAAGTTTTAAACTCACAGTGATCATAAAAAATAACCATCTTCTCCAATCCGAAAAATTGATCTGAGTTTATAATTGTGATTTGTTACAAGTATAATTATGATGGTAAAAGTGTTTTGTAGAAAACAATTTACCCCTTGGAGGGAGCACTGCCGGAGTTATTGGTGGGGTCATAACGTCAATCATTATTGTGGTAGTTGTTGTGATCTCCTTAATCATTGCTGCAAGGTAGGTTTAATCACATCATAGAAACGACAAGAAATTGTCTTACAATGCTAGACATGAAATCTTAAAAGAACCTACTGAAGGTGGAAAAATTTTGCGATATTAAATCAATTCATTAGCCTTAATAATTTACATTTAATGCCAGTTTCTTTTCTAAATAGACTATGTCAGTCAAAGTCCCGAGCATCGTTATTATATCATTTTGTGGTTTTATTCGTTATAACCTTAGTATAAGCTTAGTTTTTATATCATCTTGTGGTTTCATAATAATCGTTAAACCTGTATTCCAACACTGAATTGTTTACAAGTTTTCTCCCTATCATAACAAGGAGCACCTGACGGGTGTTACATGTACCAATCGATAGGAGATGCTCACTCCTCCATGGCACCCGATCCCATCTCTGACGTTTTTGAGGCGATCGTTTGTTCTGTTCCTGATTTGTAGCATTTGATTGTCTTTGAATTTAAGGGGGGCGACTATAGTTTCCATTGCCCAATATTTCGCGGATCATAGTAAAATGAAGTGTTTTTACTGTTTTAATGCATCTTTTTTTCGCTTAATTATTAAAATTTAACAAAATTAAGAAAATATAGATAAAAAAATGTAATTACAATTTGATATAACTGATTTTTAATCGATTTTGCAATTGATAGATAGGTTGACGTCGTTGCAGTGTGTTTTTAACGTTATGATAATTTGTAGCTCTTAAAGAAAGGGGTAATAAAAATATTATTAAAGCAAAAGTAATAAACATACGCTCTTGAAATTTAAAACATATATATTTTAGAACATCTACAATATGTTTATTATGTTTTCATGTGAATCCATTGTGTACGTCATATTTTGTAATACTCTATAAAAATAGTAAAATTTGCTAATTTTTTGCATTTTGAGATGTCCCCTCTGGAAACAAGACGGTATAATTTTGTGTTTCTTACATATATTGTATAATATGTTATTGCTCTGTTACAACGCACTTTGAAAAATTACGCACTTTGAAAAATTTTTTCAAAGTGCGTTAAATTTGGGACCAAGCTATAACGCACTTTGAAAAAATTATTTTTTTTTCAAAGTGCGTTGATATCGACCATATTGACGCACTTTGAAAAAAAATGAAGATTGATCAATATTCTTACAAATAATCAGTATGATAAATAACAGATCCTGGATGGATGACTTTTTTATGATGAAGTCACTTCAGGACCTGAGAAGTTGACGTTTTAGATATTTGAGGTTTTGATAAAATAAAAGGGAAAAGGGTCTTGAAAAAAAGAGTGACGATTGTTTAAGATCATTAATTCGTTTCTTTCTTTTCTATAAATTTTAGTCTTTGATAAGTATTTGTAAAGATGTAAAGGGGGCACTAACAGTGGACAGCTTAGGGCAAATTAGCATTTATCATAATAGAAAGGGGGTAATTTGATTGTTCAAAACAATGAAAATTCTTTCTCTCTCATACGTTTTACTGTACTTCAATATTTCTAGTTTTCACCTGTTTTAATTAACTCATTTAATATTGAAAGTTTTCAACGTCAAACCAGTTAGGTAAATACATAATCATATAAATGTTTTGATTATAGCATAGACATGGAGACCGGGTAATGGGCCAGGGGAGGAGGGGCTTAGCCCCCCCCCCCACTTATTCTGAAAAGATATATACATGTACATCGTATAAGCATTGAAATTGCAGCTTACCCTTTTTGGGTTTATTGCTCCCCGTTTGTTACCTACACCTACGTATTCAAAAGATAAAGATTTGGACTGAGGGATCTTATACCTGTCTTCTCCTTTTTTCGACGGGATTTAATCAATTCATAAGTTTTTTGAAAGATAAATAATAAATAAAATCTTTCCATTACTAAAATATGATTTTTTTTTTTCAAAGTGCGTTAAGTGTCTCCATGGTAAAATATTTTGATGTAGACTCTTAACGCACTTTGAGAATTTTTTTCAAAGTGCGTTGAGTTGGTCCAAAATTTAACGCACTTTGAAATTTTTTTTTAAAGTGCGTTGATTTTGTCCCAATTTTAACGCACTTTGAAAAATTTTTTCAAAGTGCGTAATTTTTTCAAAGTGCGTTGCCACATTGCTCATCAAATATTATAGTTTGAAAAAAAGTGTCTATTGTAGTATTTGTATAATTTGATTTAAAGTGCTAAAAATTGGCATTGTCTTATATAATCCTAAAGTAAATGTACCTGTATTTTGAGATGAAACTATAGTCGGCCCCCTTAAATACCTTTCGTATGCTTCATTTTGCATTCGTCAGATCCTTCTCATTTCTAATTCTTTCATGAAAGCAACAACGATCCAGCCTAAAAGTCTTTAACAAAATAAATGCTAAATTTTCTTTATCAGTATTATTGAATTCTTTATGAAACACCTGTGAACTAAAGAATATATTGTATCCCGTTTTTAAGACGACGGAAATTGCATAAAGAAAGAAATGAAAAAAGAAGCCTTGCAAAGGTTTTTGAAGAGGAAAGTAATAAAATTGAAGAAAACCCTTCAGATATAAATAGTAAGTATTACTGCACTACAGAAAATCTTTGAGGAATATGTACATTACTTATTAACAATAACATTTCAATGAAAGAATGAAAAAAAGTTGTTATTTGTTGTTTTATGCATCACTGGAGGGTGGATCGAAAGGTTGATACTACAATATCTATAATATCTATCATAATATGTGACTTTTTGTGTTGATATTTTACAGGTGATTTAAATCAATCATCAACCCAAGAATCAAGCCTTGACTTTGCTGACGATTGTGTATATTACAATATAAATCAAACACCCAATGATATCAAAATTGAAGACCTACAGAAAAATATAGCAACAAAAATCGCTGGGGAAAAGTTCCATTTTCTTTTGGAATATAATGTAAATCTTTATTCTAAATTCATAAATATGTATCTATTTCCTAGTTACCAGTATTAATCACTGACCTTGCAAATATGAGTATTACCCTCTTTTTGCCAACCCTGATATAAATGCATATTATCTTGAGTTTACAAAGCTTTATTATTTAATACGTAGGTTAGAAACTATACCTATAATCTAGAATTGAAGTCTTATTTTCAACAAACTTCTAAACATTAACTTGAAAAGATATTTACATGAATTCTCCATATAAGGAAGTCTGCGAGTTTTCCTGTCTTCCTAACGTAACATTCATTCCTTAAGTTTCGTTCCGTTGAATGGCCTTTTTTGAGTTTGTATTTTAAAACAAATTTGTTTTATTTTCAAAAAAAAATCAAGAGACTTCCTCATGGCGACGCAAATAAATGCCACACGGCTCAGGAGAAAGAAAATATCGTCAAGAACCGATTCAAAACAACATTTCCTTGTAAGAATTATTTTTCACGCATGAGTAATACTCATTGCTTTGTCATAATAAAAAAAAATTGAACGCCACTCTCTCGATATGTATCGATGCTTCTTAACTAAAAGGAGAGTATACAATTGTTTTTTTTAAATATCTTTATGAAAACGTTTCAAGAATATTAATACAAAACTCACTTTTTTTAGATGAACATTCCAGAGTTATTCTCAAAGAGAAATGGAACAAGGACGAAAATGATTACATAAATGCAAATTATGTCAGGGTAAAGGTGTTTAATTCAAATAATTGATTATTTCTGAAGGTTACATATTCTTTGGATTGTATTTGATAATTATTTTTCTAGGATTTGAATGGTGAAAGATGCTTCATTGCAACGCAAGGTATAAGTCTTTTCTTTTCTTTCCATCTTTTATTTATTTATTTTTTTTTTTTTTTTTTTTGATTTTTGCAAAAAAAAAAAATCCTTTAGAATTCACTAACAAACGTCTTACTCTTCTCGCCCAGACAAATCAGAATTAAGGAAATAATGCTTAGTAAACTAGTACTCTCTACTGCTATTTAAAGAATGAAGTGACTTGCGGCCCCCGGAAAATTGACAAAAAATTAAATGCCTTAATTTTACTCAAAATTTTTAAGTAACTAATCACTGATATGTGTATCTTTATAGAATACCATTTTAGGAAAAATAGAAACGTGATTTGAAAGATATACATCTTTTACTGGGGTAGGGTATCATGTTAACATCAGATTCCCATTGCATTTCAACCCCGCCCCACTCTTTGAAGGCATTAAAATATACAAGCACAGGTAGGTACCATTTTCTCCTTTGGCTGGCCACTGCATTTTATTAAAATGCACCTATATGTGAAAGGAGAAAATTGTACCTAATTGCGCTCACGTGCTTTTTTTTTAAATCTAGCTGGCCTTCCCATTATGGACAGATCGGCGGAATTAGATTTTCTGACGTAAGAATAAATTTATATGCTAATAGAGGAATTTTCGATGCTTTCTAATTTACCAATCAGTTAAATGAAATTCGTTACGAGTGAGTATCACAAAAATACTATTGAAACATGCTTGGAACTTTACTGCTTTCCGATAATTTTTTTTATGCATTTGAATCACAGATATGACACGGATTTACATATGTTCAATTTCTGAGATCACGGGGGCTAGTCCTCCCTTTTTTGCAAATCTATACAAATTAAATTTAGGTATTGAAAATGGCGATTTACCTTTTTTTGTTGGTTTACCCCCCCCCCCTCCCCTTTTCATAAGCCCACACCACAAAACCCCCTCTTTTAATTCACCTAATATGAAATTTATATACAGTTACAAACAATTGATAAATATACATTAGTTAAAAGTTTTGTAGTGTGTTTGGTGAGCAATTTGCTAGTTCTAAACGTATCCCCGAGTAAGTAAGTAAATTTTATTTAAAGTCGGCATTGTATACATACATAACAATAAACATGAGCTCTGTAGAGCTCTTAAACCGACTATCACAGTTAAAATATCACAGAAAGACGTTTACACATAAATTATCATGCAAAAACACATGTACATATATACACATACAAAAATTATGACAGATAAGAATGAATTTTAAGAATTTAACAAATTTTAAGAATTTATAGTTTCTTAAGAATAAGTTAAAGAAAAATAGACAACTTGAAAAGCAATATGATTGCATTAAGAGAAACAAAAATAAATATAACGTGAGTATTATAAATAAATAAATAAAAGTCATATGATAGTACATGTAATAAAATTAAGCACTAAGTTTGATTCATAAATTCAGATAAAAATAACATTTTAATATTAATAATATTAAAAATAAATAAATAAAAAACCCCAATAATTGAATAACTTTGAAAGTTTAGGAAATTTAAATTCACACAGACATAGCTAAACCAAATTGAGAACGAAGGAAAGAATAAAAAATAAAAATAAATAATAATAATAATAATTTTAAGTAATTTATGTTCCTCATCAATACACATCCTGCCTAGTGATTGGGTCAGTCCCTACCTACATAGGCAAGATATGCATATTGTGAGGTTAAAGGAAAAAAAAAACAAAAAAAAAAACAAAAAACAAAAAACTAGAAAACAATGAAATAAAATGAGATAGGTGATATCATTAGAGAAAATGAAAGATTTCAAAAATAAATGAAAATTCAACTATTTCTAAACATTATCTCATCAGCTATGTAGCCCTACACTGTGGTTTCTGCATGAACTGCATTTGCATTTTTCCCCCGTCCATGTCTCTATGAAAGTTTTAAATTGGCTGAGGGTGGAAAGTTCCCTAGCATGATTTGGTAGAGAGTATCGGGGAATACAAGTTTCCTGTGCATTTCTTGTCCTAAAAACTGTAAATGCTGAAAATCCATGCGAGGTATTAAGTATAAACAGCCTTGGCTGACCATTATGAAAATATGAACACTGTTGAAATGTAGAAAAATATAACAGGTAAATTGACCTAAACCGCGTGAAATGTAAACGTAGTAAACCAACATGTTTTAATGTTCTGTCATCATTTTGGACAATGACTATGTGCAAAAATAAAAACAAAAGCCGAATTAGGACTTCTCGGACACGAATGTCCCTCTAGTGTACTAAGACCCGCCCATTCTCTGGTCATAAAAGAACATTTTCTCACAAACTGGCTGAATTTAGCTCCTTGCGATAGGGACTAAAAAATCAAAGATAATGCAGTATTACTTACAATTAAGATGTGTCTAAACTATTGAAACTATTCAAAAGGCGTCGTGTTTATTCACTAATGTTTGAAAACTACAAACATCGTTGAAGATTAAATATAATTCATCGTGGAAAAAAGGGCCCCAGATAGCAGTTATGTCACATCATTCTTTGATTTATATCGTTACATCTTATGAGATATATAATTTCAAAGTTTAAATAAAATTGAAGTGTTAACAATATATTTAAGCTTTTTGTATTTCGAGGTGGGTTAAGGCTGGCTGTACATTTCTTTGAACATAAATTGATAAAAATACACAATTGATATATCTTTTTTTGCAGAGAAAATTCATTTTCTTTTACATACTTAGTTTCAGTCATGTTATAGTCAGCTTCTATTATGACGTAACGATATGAGGTTGTTGTTCTTTACTACTCGTAGTAATAAATACACAAAATAAAACACATCAACAAAAATCTTTGGCAAAATGACAATATCCTATGATTCAATTTCGTATATACGATTGATTGATTGATTGTTTATTGTTTAACGTCCCTCTCAAAAATTTTTCACTCATACGGAGACGTCACCGTATGCCGGTGAAGGGCTTCAAATTTTGACCTTACTCGGCACTCAGGGCCATTGAGCAAAGAGGGATCTTTATCCTGCCAACACCTGCCGCTGACACGGGGCCTCGGTTTTTAACGTCTCTTCCGAAGGACCCGCAACTTTCATTTCAAAGAGCCGAGTGCATGGCGAAGACACAGTTTCTACCCATTTTTTATCAACTGCCGAGATTCGAGCTCATGACCTCCCGTTCACGAAGCGA